GGCTAATAAGTACAGGCTTTTGATTGAAGGATACTCTGGCACGGCAGGTGACTCCATGCTTGGGCACCAATCTCTAAGGTAAATCAAATCTGAACGAGGCTTAAAGTGATATGAGCCGAGCCAGTAAATTCTTTGAACTACTCTATTAACTACACATTAGTTGGTGATATCGCCAAGAGGCACTTAGCGCTTTTCTATCATAACAGTTAATGCGAAAAATTTGTTTTCAAAAAAGAAGGAAATCAATCGGCCAGCAATAACTATTCTGGGGGAGGTAATATTCTGATTCTGAAACCTCTGTATGTTTTGAGGTGAGAAACACACCAAATGACAATAGGGGAAAAGTCGACAACGAAGAGGTTATCAGTTTAGGAAGATTCTCCTTATTGTGTCAATCACAGCCAAACCTTTTCCTTGACCTCTTTTAATTTATACTCTCGTCTGAACTAACATGAGGCTCATGAAATTTTTTAAAAATAACTCGACGGTAATCACAAGGAGGGGGTAGTGATGCTTGGAATAGTAGCGTCTATTTTGTAGCAAAGGGTGACTTATACGACTAATATATGTAATCTTTTTCTTACTCTCGTTCATATTTCTAGTGGAATGCGGTTTTCGACCAAAGATAAGGAAAACGAAAAAAGTCCCGAATATCAGTGTGCTTTGAAGTTCAAAGATGCGTGGTGGTACAGTCGTTGCCATGATTCCAATCTCAACGGCATCTACTATGGTGGACCACATACCAAAACATACGCCGATGGAGTTTGCAGGAGACAATTCAGAGGACTTCAGTACTCACTTAAACGCACGGAGATGAAGCTTCGACCACGTATTATGAAAAAATAATTGTGACCTTTTCCTTTGTAATGGTACATTAACTTTGTGAGAAAATGAACGAACATAGTATGAGTAGTGTAACGTTTTAAGGCAGAACTTTTATTATTTCATCTTTTTAATGAGATGTTTAGTGAAGTAACTATTACATCGATAACATACATTGCTCATCGATGTTTAACACACGGATTCTAACTTGAAGATGAAGCTTGTCGCCTCAAAATGTCGAATTGTAATTAACATACTTGTCACGAGGCCAAAGATCGAAGGAATACACTGTGTTGATCACGGCCGACTACCAGCAATTTCTGATGCCACTAGCTTGTATAATCGAATATGATGCACAATAAAGTGTCAACTACAGCTTCACTTACACATTACTGTGGCATGACTTAGAGAATTTATCCGGCTAGTATAGAAAAATTTAACTATAGCTGCGGAAGTCTGTTAAGACTCATTCTTAAATTGCCTCCAGTGTATTATCATTTTCATCTTGCCAAAATTATGGACACGTCTCTAAATTATCTTCAAAATTTTACGATACAGCGGTCTGCCTACTGTCACATTTTACGTCCACTGATCCTTTCGGCTGAAGGTCATTTCAGCTTCTACGAAAATGAAATATTATGAGACCTCCTTAAGATCAATCAGGGAGTAAGATTCTGAATTGGCGATATTTTCAAAATCTTAGATTAGGTCAATAATATTTGCATATATTTACTGAGCTCGCTCGCAGGTTGCCATAATTGAAGACGAGTTTTTTAATTATCTTGAGAATATTGTTGATACAGTTGTTTGAATCCTAGTACATTTCCCCTCAAGAGGCCCCTTCATCTTAAAAGTCATATTTTCCACATCTTATAAATGAGCATGGTTTTGCAAAGCTGAAGTATCATTGGTCTCCTTGGAATCATCTAAAAAGAAAAAGGAGTCTTGATTATGTATTATGTTCAGTGTCCCCAATCAGGTCAAATGAATTTTTAATCAGTTTTCGTGAGTAAACTAGAATGTTGCTAAAATTAAGGAAACTTATCCAAAGTATTTTTAAAACACTGTTGATAAGCTGGTCTGCAGGGTGGTGGGTCCATTCCCCGAATAATTTCTCATCACGTTATTTGGAATAAAAATATTTGTTCGAAGATTTGATAAATCGTGACAGGAAAAACGAGACGTAAGATGCTGACCATGTAAAAACGAATTCAGATTAAGATTAGAGAAAGTTGCAAAATAAGCAGAATTTTTTTTATATTAATTTTTATTTCCTTAAAATAGATCGACACAGACCAAGGTTATCAAAATTGAAACGTTCTATAATATCGCTTACTTTTATTGTTGAATTAATGACAAATATTATTTGGCCATCTGTGTCTGGTTGATTCTATAGCCATTATAATTATTTGCTAGTAACTAGGAACTGCAGCGAAATTGCTAATATCTAGATGTGCACGGAATATGTGTCTCTAATTAAGAGGTCGCTGAAATTTGAATGACAATATGAATATCTTCCTCTGATTCTTTTTTGGAACACCTGCTTAAATCCTTAGCTTTGAATATTCATGAATAAGTTGAGGTCTCACGATGAAGGTGTTAGCGATAGCACTACTATTATTTAGTTTGAGTGCAATTTGGTGATAACAAGCACAAGTAAACTTTTCAAAGAGAACAAAAATTATACGAGCCCTTAGGGCGAGTGCAATTTGTAGTCTTATATAATTTTCAAGTACTTATTTACTCGAAATTGCACGTGTAATCATGTTATTTCTTAGTAATGATTTACATGAAAAAGGCATCTTAAAAAGTCAAGATAAGTCGTGACGATATTGTGGTATCGCGCGCGCTATCTATAATTTGCCCTCGTGTTACAACATTGCATTCGTGTTACATAAAAAAATGCACTTGTTTTCAGCCGATTATTAGCGCGTTATTTCTTCGTGTATCTTATTGTGATGATAATACGACGTTACACAACGTTGCTTTTGAGTATTAATTCTTCGATGGCTCAAAAAAGCGAGAACAATGGTCGAGGAAACTATCCACATGTTCGAATTTATCTTGAACATCCAAATTAAAAAAAATCCTTGCTCTAAACGGAAAAAGTATTAATGAACATGGTGGTTAGTATACTTCACTCTGATTCTAATTGGTCAATTTATCGTAGAGCGTCCATCAAGAAATGAAGAAAGCAGTCCTGAACCATAGAGAACACGAAATATGGGTTACAGCCAATCCAGCATATCAAACTCATTGTTAACAAAAGCTTATATCAAGTCTCGGCGACCAGGCCCCCACCAACGGAGGGATTCAACAACATACAAAATTTGGAACGATTACTAAGAGACGTTTTGATAGAGATTAATTTTACCAACAAAATTTACTTTGAAATACCAAAGCTTTAGGATTTAATAGGTCAAATTTCATTTCTTAAAATTACGATTTTCGAAGGCGTTCAAGTGTCGTATCACGGTCTGCGCTCAAGAATAGGTCTTAGCTCTTTTGTGCATGCATGTTGGAATCTCAATTTTACCGCCAAATTCGAATGGAGTGAGAACGTTCCTATATTTTGGTAAATAATTCGTCAAGTTTGCGACCGATTTAGATAGGTTAAATGGCTGCTCAAGTTGGTGCTTTCTCTGCGGATTATCTGCAGATCCGTAAAAGAGGGGAGAAACGAGCGCAAGAAGAGTCTTTGGAGAATTCAATTACCAAGCGACAGCAACTTGAGGAAAAGCTCGACGATACAGAGAGAAGCTATAAATATAAAAAAAGAGATCTCAAAGATTCCAAAGATTTCAACGTAGTGAATTTTCGCTCGTTTTCCGATTTTGTCTACGGCTGAGAAGGTTTTTCTTGTTCTTGTCTTCTTTCTGAATAAAACCCCCATTGAAAAGACCTCGTCAAAGTATCATTTTGGGACTCTCTTTTCCTTTGCAGCCGCCATGTTCACAAATGTAAATTGCCACTAATTCACACTGATACTGATACTGTAATGCGCAAGCGCAGTAGGGAAAGCGTTATCCGCGCCAGCTTGGACGCCAACTAGAGCAAATGTTCGCACTCATGGGAAACTAGTTTGATATGGATAAATAACCGTGCAATTTACGATGTATCTAATGAAATGGAATATAATGGAATTTACTGGTTATGTTCTGATATCATACGATAATAGTTTGGTTCTTGTAAATAATATCGGTACTAAACTTTTGAGTCGTGAAGATATGAAGAGATAAGAAATAGAAAGCGCTATTTGATTTTCCGAAATTTAAGGAACCGACAAAAGAGAGTTTGGAAATAAACAGACGTGCACGTGGAGAATAGAATATTTCCTCGTATTACGTGGATGCTTTAAAAGAAAAAATATAATACAAGTATTGTTGGATGAATTGAATATTTAACTCTTTTTTTTCTTTGTAGAGGGTTGCGTAATTTAGGAATTTTTAACGGTTATCATCAGTTTTGAAATAAAAAGACTTATGTGGATTAAGTGCATTAAGGATAAGAGTAACACGTAAGTAAAAGGAAATGTGGCTCTCTGGCCCGCGTTATTTTGGGAGAGGTTGTTTCTAAGTTTTCAATTCAGGACACTACGTGACAAATGCAACAGATATAGATCTAGACAACGAGCTCTGAGAATAACAAAATGAAGGAAGCCTTCCCTTGAATAGTTTTAAACGATCAGGGAGATTATTATCAAAAGGAGCCAAAAATTGAAAAAATCGGCTGACACGCCTGTAAGTTTTGCAGATAGTTGATCCTCTAGTCAGAAAATACTTAATATAAAAAAAAAAAAAAAAAAGATTGTATGGCGCATCGCACAATTGATACAATACAACTGGTTCTTTCTTAGGAAAACAAAAAGCATCATACATATGTTGGTTTTCATGCAAGCTTATGGATAGTATGGATAAATATGAGAGTGATTTTCGCAGTAATGAACACTGCATAAGCAGTAGTGAAAATAAGGCCTGAAAAAGCAACTTTTCCTCATGCACATAACTGGTCCTCGTCTCTGTGTTGATTCACGTCAAAGGCTTTTTAACCTCTTTGCATAGGAAGCAGTTTTTTCCTGTTTTTCCTTGACGAAACGTAGCTGCATAGATTTATCCTTGAATCCCGACACTGTGTGTGGGAGGTGAAAGTTTTCTTCCGTTCCTTCGTTCTTCCCTTTGCTTGTTTAAACGACGCTTGATGACCGACTGATGTCGTGCTGAAATGTTTGATTCTTCTCATGCAGCCACGTATGTTCATTCAAGTTCTCTCGAAAATGAACGGAGTAATGACGAATTCGTGCTCTTCATTAGAGCGATGAGCATAAGCATCCTTATTTGAACAATTGAACGACTTACAAAGTTTAAATTATACAAATCAGGCTAGAATACACCTCAGTCTTCGTTGTAAAATTGTAGTATTTAACCTAAATAACTATTTCGATAACTTAAAAACGTGATAGAAGCGACAAATTTCTAAGTCAGTGAACCAGAAATCGGCTGACTCCTTTTGTCAAACTTATACCGCTTGAAGTGAAATTAGTTATATGAAATTATCCCAGAATCTCCAAATAGGAGACTGTGCTTGGAAAGTAGGACGTGAAGAGTGTTCTTCCGTTCTGTCTTTCCCATATTTAAGCGACATTTGATGACCGAGTAAATTTTCTGTAACGAAATGTTAAATGAAAAGTTTGATTCACCCTATCTATTGACATAGCTATTCGAAACGCACCTTATTTATTCTTGGCTATCAAAAGAAAGAAAAGAAAACAAACGAAACAGGCAAACCACACGATGTAAGACTAATTAACAAAGAGAGAACGTGTTTAAAAAAAGCAGGCCACTCATTAAACTTTTGAGAAGTCTTTGAACACCGTTGTGGGTTGATTAGAAATGAAAAGTAAGTGTTTTTCATATTTATGACTGATGAACCTACTGTTATTGAAACCATAACAATGAATAAATCATGTGAGTCGACCAGGAATTGGAGTGAGAGATTAGCAGTGCACAAATCGAAGTTTGTGTCAACATTCAACTCAACGAACACGTAACATGTTCTTGTTCTGGTCCTCAATCGCTTTGTCCGTAACGTTGGTGTCAGGACTTGGTCGAATAAAAACAGATGATTTACATGCCGTAAACTTTGCGACAGAGATTAAAGGAAGCAAGCTTCTTGGGAGGGTTATCGAGGAAACAGAAGAGGAATCAGAAGATGCTTGCCAGCTGCAATGTGTAGATGAAAGCCGTTGCCTGTCTTACAATTTTGGACCGGCAGAAGACGAGAGAAGATTCAAATGTCAACTAAGCGACTCTGATCGATTTGCTGCAATGGAAAATTTCATTCAAGATGACAAGTTTTCCTACAGGGGAATAC